ATTTATTTGAGTTTATTTTCTTTTGAATAATAATAATTATAAAATTATGGTACATTTTAATTATTTATAAATAATATTATTATAATAGTTATGGTATAATTAAATTATAGATATAAATGGTTTAATCAAGTCCCATAATTTTTAAAAGAAAGAATACAATTAAATATATAGAAAGGAATTATCATTCTTGAAGTTGGAATGTTTGAGATGGGAGTATCAAGTGTTCATTCATCACTGAACTATTCTCGGGAAATTCCTCGAACATCAGGGTAGAAAGTACCAACCTTTAATAGGTAGGTGGAACACATGGATGCATAGAATCTTCGGATGAGATTAAACCATGTGAACCATTTTCGTTGTAAATACAGTTATTCAAACGCTTATGTAACTCGATGAGGGTCAGTCTTCAACTTCATTTTTTGATAATTAATTGTTTCTATTAATTTATAATAATTATACCAAATAATTGTTAAATTATTCGTTTAAATTAAAAAATTTGGTTTAATAATTAAAATACAAATAACAGTGTCAGTTAAACGGCATCGAGTGCTATTATCTTTGATTTTGATGGCTATAAAACCCAATTTGAATGTTATATGGAAATATTATAAATAACAAAGAAATGTTGTGTATACCCTTTTCACTTTTTTGCATTCTTTAAACCAATTTTCACCCAAAGATTTTTCTGTTTTTAGAACACAAATCTTTAATAAATTGCATCCCATAAAACAAGAGGCACTAATCTAATAGGAAGTTGCTGGACTTTATTTTCTTTCAATAATTCACACCTCAAAAACGCCATAAATCCAATTTTAGTTAAATTACATGGTATATTAACAGTTTTTAAATAACTGCACTGATAAAAGGTATAATCTGGAATTTTTTCCAATTGATCTAAAAGTTCAAAATATGGCAAATTGGTACATCTAGAGCAAAAACCGAATCCGATTTGTTTAATAAGAAATGGTATTTTGACATCAATAAGTGAAGTGCAGTCTTTGAATGTTTTTTACCAAATTTAGTAGCGGACCCTCCTATAAACACTGATGTCAAACTTGAACACTCCATAAACACGCCATCTCCAATAGAATTTTCAATATTAAAAATGTTGACTGACTTCAGTGAACCACATCGAGCAAAACAGTTGTCTTCAATTGTTTTTAATAATGTTGGAAATTTGATGTTTTCTAACATGGAACAACAAGTGAAACAACATTTGGGTAGAACTGTAATTGAATCAGGTTATATTATATTTGTAAGTTCGCTGCACTCAAATAAACTGAATTGACCAAGTTTCGAGAGTGTCTGTTATAAAATCGGTTCTATAATCTGATAACAAGAGCTGAATACACAATTCTTTATTTCTTTTAACTGTGTGGACATTTTGATGACAATAACATTCTGCATTTTTTGAAAATAAAATAAACAAAAAAATAAAAACTTTCTATCATAAATGATGTATATTTTGTTCCGATTTTAATTTTTAATGATATATCACGCACTTAATTGCATTAGAACAATCAAAACACAATAAAACTCCAAAAATGAAACACAAAACTTTTAATACTCAGTATTACTTTTTTATAGTAATATTTTAAGATTTTTTAATTTTTGTAATAGTTAAGAAAACCATATTTATAATAGAATAAACACAATTATTATTATTTATAATAAAATATAATAAATTAATAATAATAATAATAATATATTATTATATTAATTCAATTATAATATAAATGAACTAAAATTGTCAAATAATATTAATGGGTTCTTTCCACTCGTTTCCACCAACACCACAAGAAAAAGCGCTTTGTAGTGTCTCTTTCTTTCCTCCCAAACCGTCATACAATACTTGTCATTTTTTGTACAATTAGACACCGCAAAGTTCCATATAAAGTATACAGACCAAAGATTCCAAGTGATGTCTATATTCTATTTTCACATGGCAACGGTCTTGACATGGGGCAATGTGTCAGTGTCACCGAGAAGTTTCCTGACATGACACAATCAAATATTGTTGTATACGACTACTCTGGTTATGGTCTTAATCCACGTGAATTAAGTCCACTTAATAATATAGAAGATATCACTGCAATGTATTTGGTGATTCTAAAAGAAATGAAGGTCAAGCCGCATAATATCTTCATAATAGGACAGATATTATGACTTGGAATAATTCGATTTAATAAAAATATGATTTCAAAAATAGACGTTTATGATTATAATTGTTTTTTTATAATTTAGGTATAAAATATAATTTGTGTTTTTAATTATCATATAACTTTGAAAAACCACATAAAATATTAATTACAAATAATACTGATTAAAAAAGCGGGCATTTTAAAACATTCGAATTTTAAAAATTAATCAATAATTCTATTTTTAGTTTTAATATTAAAATGCTAACTCTTTAGAAAATTGGTGTTCATAATAAATTTATTTTTTAAAAAACAATTGTGCAACAACGATTTGTACCTACACAATAAAATTTAAATATAAAAATGAAAATAACAAAAATGTTAAAATATGAGATACTTTAAAGTTGAAATAAATGGATGT